AGAGGGTAGTGGGGAGGCGTGAGCACAAAGGAATCAACGGTGCTCCGCCGGGACCGATACTGATATACTCAACACAATTAATAATAAACTATGGAATCAACATATATATGGATAAACTGGTCTGGCTATGGGACTAACGGTAAACCGGTACTCATGTGCACACTCTGGGGAACCCCTCCCACAGAAATCCAGGAAAGGCACTAATCACCCCATCTGGACGCTAGACTTAGGACGGGCCCTAATCACACACATCCAAGTCATAACTGAAATACTGAAATATTGACCAAGACGGGATCATTCATCCGTCTCGGTCCTTCAATTTAAACACATATAGATCTCAGACATGGTAAATTATTAAAAGCGATGAAATACACAGTACGTGGTCCCCACCTGGAAACTGGCGAATGCAAAGGCTGAAATATCTGAAATGGGTAGCTGATGGAGGCTCGACTCTCTTCAAGCTACAAAATATATTGAGCGAAACATTCTAAGTATTGGGTTCAGAAATAAAACTCTAATCTTTAATATCTTATTGTCTAGGTTCGCTCACTCTGCTTTAAAAATCATTTTAGGGGTTTACGAGCTGATTTTGAAAATTTACTGTCTTTGAGGCATTCTAGAGTTCTCTGAAATATTCCTAAATCTGAAAATATATTCTGACTTAATCTAATCTGACTGAAATCTAAACTATATCTGGATCTTTAATCTATCAGGAATTTTAACTTTATCTGAAATCTATCTGAAATATATATCTGTAATTCTATCTCTGAAATTCTATCTGAAATATATATCTGAAATTCTATCTGAAAAATATTTCTGAAATTCTATCTCTAAAATTCTATCTGAAATATATATCTGAAATTCTCTGCGAACCATCCGGCCTGCTCGGACTGGTTCGACTGAACTGGACCGACGGCTCACTCGGAGCCAGTCGATCATTCGCTTAACTATGTGCAGCTCGGTTTGACCGTGGTCCGGGTTCGGCGTGGCAACTCGGGCCGGCACGAACTCGACTGACACGACTTAGCCGATGCACGGGTTTGAAACGGTGCCACGGTGTAACACCCCGCTGACTGATATACATCAGAGTACGCTATTTTTCGCAAATATTC